TTAATTCACGTTCTGGCTGAAGAAAAATTCTATAATTTTAAGAGAAACATGAAACTCACTAGGATCGGTCATGGCAATGAGACCAGAGCCGTCGAAATTGCAATTCCAATAGTGTCTTCCTTGAGCTTGGTAATAAAGATTCATTGCAACAGAAGCATGATTAATGGGATTCTCAGGAGAATAACATGCACCTCCTTTCATTATAATCTGACAATCAATTTTAGAACACGCGAAATTAATATTTTTTAAAAGTTTTTCTTTCTCCGTAGAAGGTTTAGCCACACACCAATCTCCGGGGTTCTGCAACAAAGACCAAACTCAAAGAGCATTAAAACATAGACCAAACTCAAGTGCATATAATAAAAATATATGAGATTGATTGATTTTTTTGGTTTTTATTTTGGACTTATTAAGAGTTACGATGAGCAATCTTACTTGTGTATTGACTCTCATGAAGTTTTTTTCTGTAAAAACCATGGAAATGAAAGTGAGATTGCTACAAAACTCATAAAATCTTAGAATCAATTTAAGAAATATGAAATGATCAATAAACCTTCGCAATCGATTTATCTAGATATATAAATTTGATTGGTAGCTTATATTAAACATGATGATTATATAGTTGTGATTAGATTACCTGATGAGAGGTACAAGAAAATGATGAAACAAAGACATTTTTGTGCTTTACCCATGTGAGATTTTGTTTGACGTCTGAAAACTCCTCGATATAAACTAGGTAACCCATCTCTTATATATAGAGAGATATGGAGTAATACATGAATTTTATAATTAAAGCTATATCCCTTATATATATGGAGAGAGATATAAACTAGGTAACGCATCTCTTATATATAGAGTGATATGGAATATAATAATACATAAATTTCATATTAAAGCTGTGTCTAATATAATATTTATTTGTCAATGTTTTAAAAAGTTATTTTAATTAACTTTAAGTGTGTGCAATCACACATCTTACCACATCAAACATAATTAATTATGAAACGCTTGTTTTATAATTAACAAATATAGAGAAATCTAGAATAATACATAAATTTTATAATTATAGCTATATCTACTATCATATTTATTTATTAATGTTTACAAAGTTATGTTAATTTTTTTATATATATAGAGAGAGATATAAACTAGGTAACACATCTTTTTTTTTTTTTCATCCGATGTATTATTAAAACCAAGTACAATACAAAGGAATACCACATAGAAAGCCACAGGACGGCTATTTACGTGGACAATACCAGAACCGAAAGTCCATAAATGGAAAACACAAA